ATGGACTTTCGAGACAAATTGGATTTCAAAAGGCAAGTGTCCTCGAAAAGATTGGATGATATGGTAATGATGCCATGGTGATCACCAACTTTTAAATCCTTTTGAAAATTTCTGAGCCTTTTGAGCCTTTACCCAAACCAATGTTATAACCTTCTCCAAAGTCTCTTCGGATTGGGATGGTTTAAGCAGAAATTTGGATTCCCAAACAAGCTATCGCTTGAAGAAGTGGGGGCAAAGTTATCTTATCTCATCTTAAGGTTTCTTGACTTGTAAACCTGATGGAGATGCTGATTGAAAATTATTTCATTCCTTAGCCGATAATGCTTATCCATTGTTGAAACCGTGACCAAATCTACATTACGGTCCTTTGAAAGACCTCTTAGATTGGTCAATGTGTACTTATTGCGAATGATTCTCAAAACCTTCGACAGCGGTCATGTGAGGTATATTGAGTGATCAAACTATTTCCCACATTGATGGAAGGGATCAAGCAGCCTTCTTGAGAGTATGTGACAAGCCCTTTTCCGATTAAGGAGTTCTTGTTTGGCATACTTAATGAGCCCTTTTCATGAGTTAAGGTCATTTTGACAAAAGACTTTCTCCTAAGGGAATTTGATGATTAATGACACTTCTCAAGCCTGATGGCAATCTTGTTATGTTGAATGATGCAAAATATTTTCCAAACAATCAAAACTAGCTTGAATTGCTCATGCAATCAATGCTTTCTCATTGATGATACCATTTTCATATGGCCTCTCGTGATGTTATCTTGCCTGGTACCCATTCGCTACCAGAGCACTTGTTATAACACATCCTGTTAGATGTGCAGATGCCTCCTCGGAATTTCCTCAATATTCGACAGATATGGTGAGCTCTAACAGCCCGAAACTATTCTTACATAAGAAGTCTTTCCTACGTGGGACCGTGCTTTCTGAAGGTTTGTGCATTTGTCCTTAAACTACGCAATGCAAAGGTTTATGCATTTATTGCATAACACCCTGATTCCAAAAGTTCTGGGTTTTTCTTTAAACCCTGATTTCACAAGGTTCTGGGTCTTCCTTAAACCCCGATTTCAAAAGTTATGGGTCTTTCTTTAAACCCTGATTTCAAAAGGTTCCGGGTCTTTCCACAAACCCTGATTTCAAAGGTTCTGGGTCTTTCCTAAAACCCCGATTTCAAAAGGTTCCGGGTCTTTCCTAAAACCCTGATTTCACAAGGTTCCGGGTCTTTCCTTAAACCCCGATTTCAAAAGGTTCTGGGTTTTTCCTGAAACCCTGATTTCGAAAGGTTCTGGGTCTTTCCTGAAACCCCGATTTCAAAAGGTTCCGGGTCTTACCTTAAACCCCGACTTCAAAAGGTTCTGGGTCTTTCCTGAAACCCTGATTTCACAAGGTTCTGGGTCTTCCTTAAACCCCGATTTCAAAAGGCTCCGGGTCTTTCCTAAAATCTCGATTTCAAAAGGTTCCGGGTCTTTCCTTAAACCCCGATTTCAAAAGGTTCCGTGTCTTTTTCGAAACCCTGATTTCAAAAGGTTCACAGGTCTATCCTTAATCCATGTTTTTTACAACATAAAGTCCTAAGTGAAAACCTTAGGCACATTACAATCTTGAGTGAAAAACATTAGGTATTTCAAAATCTTGAGTGCAATTTGCCGTTCATAGGGTTTTAGTCCCTAGGTGTACTTTTAGGGTTTTAGTCCCAAAGCTAAATCTTCGACGTTCATAGGATTTTAGCCCATAGGCGGAATCTTCGACGTTCATAGGGTTTTAGTCCCTAGGCGTTCCTTCAAGGTGTTGTTCCTATTGCCGTTCATAGGGTTTTAGTCCCTAGGCGGGATCATAGCTGTTCATAGGGTTTTAGTCCCTAAACAGAATCTTAGACGTTCATAGGGTTTTAGTCCCTAGGCGCTCCTTCAAGGTGTTGTTCCTATTGCCGTTCATAGGGTTTTAGTCCATAGGCGGGATCATAGCTGTTCATAGGGTTTTAGTCCCTAAACAGAATCTTAGACGTTTATAGGGTTTTAGTCCCTAGGCGCTCCTTCAAGGTGTTGTTCCTATTACCGTTCATAGGGTTTTAGCCCCTAGGCGGGATCTTAGCTGTTCACAGGGTTTTAGTCCCAAAGCTAAATCTTCAACGTTCATAGGGTTTTAGCCCCTAGGCGTTCCTTCAAGCTGTTGTTCCTATTGCCGTTCATAGGGTTTTAGCCCTTAGGCGGAATCTTCGACGTTCATAGGGTTTTAGTCCCTAGGCGTTCCTTCAAGGTGTTGTTCCTATTACCGTTCATAGGGTTTTAGTCCCTAGGCGGGATCTTAGGTAGCGAATGATAACCATTCTGTTCCGGAATGAGTTCCTGAACCAGAAATAGATTTTTCTATTTCTGGTTCCTGGATGAGTTTCTGAGAAAAAAAACCCGTTTGATAACGACCAAAAATTTTTATTTCTAGAACAGAAACCCGTTTGATAACAGCACAAAATTTCTATTTCCTGAAACAAAAACCCGTTTGATAAACAATAGAAAATTCTATTTCCAGGAATAGAAATCCATTTTTTTGGAAATGGAATAAAAATAATTAAAAAATCCGAAAAATTCATAAAAATCTCAAAAAAAATTCAGAAAATCCCAAAAAATTGAAAAATTCCAGAAAAAATCATCAAAATGTCGAGAAAATAAAAAAAATTCAGATTTCGGGAAAATAAGAAATTTGTTTAATTTTTTCAAAAAAAATCAAGAAATCAAAAATTTCAAAATTTCACAGAATTGCTTAGAATACCTATAGTCACCCACTTTGAGTAAAATTTATATTTTTTGAGGTGCCCAAAAAAATAAAAAATAAAAAAAATTCAAAATTTCACAAAATGGCTTAGAATACATGTGGCCACTCACTTTTTGAGTAAATTTTAATTTTTTTGAGATGCCCAAAAAAATTTTAAAAAATTAAAAATTTCAAAACTTCACGGAATGGCTTAGAATACCGTGGCCAACCATTTCAAGAGAAATTTAATTTTTTTGAGATTCCCAAAAAAAAATAAAAAATCTAAGACAGCCCCTCGTCACTTGATGTTTGGTGAAGAAATTAATGTTCAAGAACTTTAATCACATCCGTACGTGGTGGTAATCACTGAAAAGAAAAGAAGGGGTCACTGGCTAATGATAACGTATCAAGGCATGCTTTAATTTACTCAGATGGCAATTGAGGGTGTTCAGTGTTTGCATTTCCCGCAAAGCAAAGGATATGTTGGTTACAAAGGTCTAAAGCTTGTCTTTGAAACAAAGCTATCAACTGTGATTCATCCATCTGTAGTTCTCACTCCCACACTTTTGCATTACGTCGAAGCTCGCCTTTTCTTTTTCCGTTTTATTTTGTGGCAATTTGTGAAGAAGATTCCACAATCTATAAATAGGACTATGGCTTTTCTGCTACTATCCGAGTGGATCTCACTTCCGAGGAGTTTTTGGTCTTCACCAAGGTCAGAGACAAGTTACTTCCTGATTCAATTTTCTCTGTTCCTGATAATTGACTATGGAAGGAGCACTTTTTTTTGCTCATTACATGTAGAATACGACAGAAGTTTCAGAAATATAATCCAGGAACATATCAAGGTAGACATGATCAAGCGAAAAGAAAATTTGCTATGAGTCAAATACTCGAGTCAGTTGCCTCAGTTTGCAATATACATGCTTTTGCATAAGATAGCAGCATGCACACAAGATTTAAGACCTCTATAGACTATACATAGTCTCTTAGCACAAGAGATCCCGACTTCCACCAAATAAAGCTCAAACTGATGAACATTTTAATCATGCACGGTTATTGCAGAGCTCATCTTCTTATTCCTCTCAGTAAAACCGCCGTATGAAGACAATCTAGGGAGGCAACAAGTCACAGTTCTAACCGGTTTCTGCTCCTCCATCACATGGTCTCCATTAGGAGTCCTTTCGCCGCTACACATGAAAGTGGAAGGCGTTCCTTGATCAGAGATCAGAAGAACATCGAGTATAGTTGGCTTGGCTTCAGCCTTTTCTTCTGCCATAGCTTTGTGAGCCGAAGCATCATGATCGGCAACATCTTCTTGATCCGTGAGGCTATCTCGGAAAAGTTCAGCGAGTTTCTTTTTCTTACTTGTTGGGGAAGGCTTGGGAACAAGGACAGGTGCTTTGTCCCGAGGGGCATTCTTAACCAATTGTGTTCCCCTGAATAAGGATGGGTGGATAGGAGTGTTTCCACGGGAAGGAGTACTCCCACGAGAAGGAGTGAAATCTGCAGTAGAAACAAGAATGAGCACACAAATAATACAAAAAAGTATTATAGAATGATATAAGCCAGGAAAGAAAATGATGACACAATAAACAGCATATCTCGTGAGTAAAGCAAAATCTTGCTCCTTCTCTTGTTATTTTTCTTCCTTAGGATTGAATAAATATAAGAGTCAGGAAAATCTGCATAGCTAAAATAAGTGCCACGACCTCAATGACAGAATTTTCCATGCAGTTGTTAACTTTAAGGCATATGATGATTAAAAGCAAACTCATAAAGATGATGAGAGACTTTAGGTAAGTTCATGATGCTATATCAGGTATGGAGTTGGACAACTGCACTTTGGCTGGACAATTATCAATCGATTAGAGATCAGTGCTAGTTGCAGCCCCTGTTCTTAATGTCAAGATGGTCTCAGGTACATTTTTTAAGAGACTTCAATTGATTTCCATCAATTCGCTCAATAGAAGACTGAACACCCAATTCATCGCCCCCTACCCAGAGAGAGAGAGAGAGAGAGAGAGAGAGAGAGAGAGAGAGAGAATTTGTGAGTGGTGCATACTAATTAAGTGAGAGTGCTAAGATTGTTGTCTAAACCCTGCCATTTTTTAGAGGGGAAATCAAAGGAGTGGCGGTAGCTTAAAAGCGTCCTCCTTAACCAAGAGCAACTTAAATTGATAAATGAAGCAGGCAACTAAAGAAACATTAAACAAACCACGAACCACCACACATGTCACCATTGACACTGAAAAAAACATCTTCACAGTCGTACTCTAACCAGGGCTTCGAATCGAAGAAAACATCCTCTTTACTGCCTGCATTTGACAAAGATATATTGTTCCAGTTCAAGCATTGACAATATAAGAAAATTAAACCACACCTAGGAAAAACACAAAGCACGCATTCAGATTTAGGCATCAAGAGAAGCAAAGCACATTGACCCACTCAGCTCAAAGATCAAAACCAGTAATTACATGATAGTTTATTCCTTTAGTCAGCTAATTATAAAGACAACAAAGCAGAAAAACTAGTGCTGCAAACATCATCACCGCTCTCTAATAGAGCGGGGGAGGCCAGATCTGGGGGAGGCCGAGCGGCCTCGCCATGGCCGCCGGTCGACCTCGCGGTCGCCCAGGCCGAGCGGCCATGGCGGGGCCGCCGGTCGACCTCGCGGTCGCCCAGGTCTGGGCGACGGCGAGGCCGACCGCCGGCCTGGGCGAGGCCGACCGCCGGCCTGGGCGAGGCCGAGCGTCCTCCCCAGACTGGGGAGGCCGAGCGACCTCGCCCAGGCCGGCGGTCGGCCCAGCCGTCGCCCAGATCTGGGGGAGGCCGCTCGACCTCGCCCAGGCCGACCGCCGGCTTGGGCGAGGCGGAAGCTGACCCCCCCTGATCACGGCGACTTCCAAATCCAGAAAAGAGAGCGAGCAAACGAGCGGAGGATCGGAGCTTACGTGGAGCAGGAGCGAGCGGCCCTGGCTTCCTCTCGGTCGGAGCGAGCGAACGAGCGGCCGGCTTCCTCTCGACGGCGACAGAGAGAGTTCAGAGAGAGACGGGCAGATCAGAGAGATGAGAGGAGACGAGAGACATGTTTTGAAGAGAACGACTTCCTCAGAAATGGTTCTGAGTTTTGTTCAAGAAACGAAAAACCAACTTTTTTTTGGTTCTGATTTCTGGTTTCAGAACCGGTTCTGGGACAAAACTTGTCCCGGAAATAGAAAAATTAAATTGCGTTAACAAACGGGTTTCTGGTCCAAAACTGATTTCGGGAGCAAAAAACCAGTTCTGGATAGAACCAGAATGGTTATCATGCGGGCCCTTAGCTGCTCATAGGATTTTAATCCCTAGGCGGAATTTTCGACGTTTACAGGGTTTTAGTCCCTAAATGTCAATCCAGAGTCTTTTTCTTGGCACGGTGAGCTTTTGCAGCCCGGAGCACCCATTTGATCTGGCGAGCATTCGCAGCCCAGAGTCTTTTTCTTTGCACGGTGAGCTTTTGCAGCCCGGAGCACCCCTCCGACCTGGTGAGCTTTCGCAGCCCAGAGTCTTTTTCTTTGCACGGTGAGCTTTTGCAGCCCGGAGCACCCAATTGATCCGGCGAGCTTTCGCAGCCCAAAGTCTTTTTCCTTGCACGGTGAGCTTTTACGATCCGGAGCACCCCATTGACCTGGCGAGCTTTCGCAGCCTAGAGTGTTTTTCCTTGCACGGTGAGCTTTTGCAGCCCGGAGTTTCCTTTATATCTCTTGTGAACATCAGGTAAGTATGTTTACTCTCTTTAAAAATAAAAAAAAAAGGAGAAGAAGAGAAGAGAAGAAAAAAAAAATGAGGCCTTCACAAGTATGTCCCTGAGCCATGCTCCTTATGTCAAATCCTTTATGAGAAACTTAGGCACCTCAAGTCCTTCGTGAGAAACTTAGGCACAATCTATCAAATCCTTGGGTGAGGAACCCGAGTGCTCATTCACCGAATCTTTTCAAGCCTCGCTGGCAAAGAGCCTCGAGCAATCCGATCCAACCTACAGTATGTAAACCCAGTGTACGCATCAAAGGTTTGTGGTCCAACCTTAAACCACGCTTCAAAGGTTTGTGGTCCCACCTTAAACCACGATTTCCAAAAGTTTGTGGTCCAACTTTAAACCACACTTTATTCATCTTATTTTATTTTACTTATTTTATTCTCATCTTATTTTGTTTTATTTTCTTTTCTTTTCTTTTCTCGTGCGTAAAGCCAACTTTCGCTTGCCTTCCGCTGACAAATTTAGGTGTCTTTTGTCTTTGAAGGGAACCTCTTCGAGCTCCCCTTCAAAGAGGGGCAGCTGTTGACACCTAAATTTTTTGCCCAAAAATCATTTTCGAAAAATTGGAACTTGTTTTTCCACAAAAATATTTTGGAATTATTCTACTAAAAAAAAAAAAACGGAAGAGCAAGGGCCAAGGATTCGAGTGTAGCTAGCCGAGACCTGAGGGATCAAATTGCAAATGAACCAGCAAGTTGGGGCCAAAATACAATTTCCAAAAGTTGGGGGACCAAATCGCAAAATTTGTTAAATTTGCCCCCAAGCCCTTAAATCATCATTTTTACCCCTAATCAAGCTTGAAATTGAAAACGGGCAAGGTAAAATTGATCAGATCAAGCCAAAAGGACTAAATTGGCTCAAATCGGGCATTCTCGGACAAGAAAGTGGCTAATTTTGAGGGACTTTCCTGCAAACTTGGGCATGGAAAATTGCAAATTCTGATTATCATCTTAAACTAATATACTTCAACTTTCAAACTGATCAAAAATTCCGACCAAATGAATGGATTAAAGCACTTAAATTAGCTTCCAAAAACCGGTCCACGATTTGGTCTCAATTCGAGGCTGCTGAGTAGCCAAATTTGTGGCCCCACCATATCCTACTCAGCCAGCCGATCAGCGTGAACTCTGGCCGAGGTGTGAGACCATCATTAGGAGTGCAAATGGACAAAAATTTGCCATGGATAAGCTGCTGAAGACACGTGATAATCTCAGTCAAACCTGCTCACTCAACAGCTGCAAATTATGATGATTTTGGAGTCAGAAAGTTGGTGAAGAGACTCAGTTTGCAGGCTTGGTAAGTGGGCAATCACGGGCTAAAAATCTGGTTGGATTCGGTGGATAGGATCGCTGAAGCACGTTATTTTGGGGGATAAAAATAAAGGGATGAGACAAGAGGAGGGGGGGGGGGGGGGGTCGGTCGTTCCAAAAACTCACCCTCGGACGCAACTCAAACGGAAAATCAACCAAAAAAAGTTCCAGATTGGCTTTTGGAGAGAAAAGGGAGATTTTCATGAACTTCGAGCCAAAATTAGCCAAAACCTTCAACTAGATAGTGGAACTACATTCAAAGATCTTTCCAACCGTAGGTCGCACGTCCCAAATGGATGTCGGGAAGCCATCCAAAATCCCCTCGAAAAGCAGCCCATTCTCGGGTCAAGAGAGACCCAGAAATTTTCCAAAGTGTTGGAGTCAGACGGTTACTGGTGAGGGAAAGTGGGAGTTTTTGAGAGTCATGAGAAACATATGAGGATACCCTTGACATGGAAATTAAACTAGAATACATCTAGTTGGGGTTGGTGTCAAATTAGTCAGAAGAAGAGGTCGTTGATTCTGGTTTTGGAGAACAACAAAAACCTTCGTTGTCAGTTCTTTCTTTGCAGATCTCATTTTCCAGTTTGAAGAAGCCTATTTCTCCGCGCCTTGGAAGACAATTTTTTGGTTCCCTCAGCCAAGGGATACTTCAAAGAGAAACTAGGAAGCAAGGTGAGTATCCTACATGTATTTTTGTTCCATTTTGAACATGTTTTAGTCATGAAAAAATCAAGAGAAAACTAGCCCAGAGAACTGATTTCTGAGGCTGGAATTTTTCTAAGTGTTGGAACCCCTTCATGAGCCATATATGTTTGACTTGCTACTCCTCTTTGCATGCGTTTTCTACCTTCATGAGCCTGATGAATGTTATATGGGTGTACAAATTATGCTGAGATCCACTTGGTTTGGTCTTTGAATCCCCGTGTGAACCATGAGATGGCTTGCAACTTGAGTAAGAAGCCAAGCTAACCCACATTGATTCATGGCTAGTCATTATGAACCATGCATGTATGCTTCTTGGGGGGGTTGTTTCGACGTGTTCGCTTGATCATTCTCCATGATGTTTGTTTCATTTAAAAGTAGATGTTACGTATATTCTCTCAGATGAAGTGATGTTTCCTATAGATCTTGCACGTGATGAGTGTCGGGGCTTAAACCTGGGCATGCAACAGGTTTGCTTGACCTGGGTTTAAACCCAAATTTGCAAAAGCAGCCCGAACCCACATATCGGGGGCCGATTCCAACTTGGTTCTCGTGCGTTTTAGGTTGTGATTTCTAGCTAATCTTGTTCTTTGCATGTGATAATATAACCTTGATACTTTGGTTCCACTTGATATTACACACGGAGTAAGATTGAAGGCCACGAATATGGCTCGAGGAAGCCATTTGGGGCATTTTAATGCACACCAAATGCTCGACGAAATGCCCAAACCAAGTTTCGATCTTGAAACGGTTGATTTGAGCCCGGTTCTCGTAATATTCATTTTCTGAGTTGTTTCATGTTCACGTAAACCGAGCATAGGCCGATTTAGGGAATTATTATTATTATTTAAATAAAAAACGAAAAAAAAAAAATAGAAAAATTTCGAAAATCCAAAAATTGGAAATTGGGCTTCAGAATTGCTTTTCTCTCCCTTTTTGTGGAATTAGCGTATGTTTGATTGCTCCTCGCTTGATTCGCACGCTTTGAATTGCATGTTTAATTTAAACTCGCATGTGGTTGATTATGCATGTTAGGTTCATGTAGTGATTGTTGCTTCCCTTAGCTTGGTTAGGAATGAATTTTTTAAACTCCCAGTTAGTGTGAACACGTTAGGTGGTGAATTGAGCAAGATTAGGTACCGAAAGGGCACTAGTTGGTCAATTAGTGTAATCAAGTCCCCGTACCCATTGAATCTCTGGTTCGTAGAAGTAAAGCATTTCTCCCCTGCTTTGCTTGGGTGTCTAATCGACCCACCAAAAACTGATTAGTGGCGACTCCTAGGTGAAATTGATTTCCATGTTAATAACTTTAACTTAAGTCGCGAATTGGTATGAGCTTGGGAGAGCTCGAGCTAGGTTTAACTTAGTAATCCATTAGCCTAACCCCTTAGGCGGCGGGGCCGGTTTAGGAAGGGTCGCGACAAAGTTTTTGTGTTTTTCTTGTTCTATATCTTCGCGCAATTCTGCGGCATTTCATGGTGTCAAATGATGAGTGTGTAATGCGTTATCATGACTGAGACTTTTACTTTGTTAATATTTCATATTATTCATGTGTCTAAACATAAGTTGTGAAGTAGATTGTAGCAAATGGAGATAATCGGATATGATGATTCACTGTAATCATTCAATTAAGAGTACCAGCTGGAACCTAGGTAGGCCTTTGAACTGACCCTGGAACCTGGGACAAGATAGGTTCCAATTTCATGGGTATGCAAGGCGGGTTCCATGTTCCAAAAATTAGGGAAAGTGTTCCGATCGGTAGGTTCCAGGTTCCAGATGGAATTTCAACGAAACTTGAAAACGCTCACCCCTACTTGCATTACTTACAAAAATGAATGAACGAAAATAATTTTCATCGTTTACGAATATGTTAAGACATTAATTATTATTGATAATAAATATAGTTTTCATTAGCTAATTATTTTAAGCGATACAAGCGATCATCATCTAAATTATTCATTTTTCGTGAAACAAATGAAGATAATCGATTGCCAAATAAGGAGGAAGAAGTAAAGGAAGTTTGCAACATTCTTCTTTTTAATTTTTGGTGTTTTGGGGGCACAAGCGCAGAAACTCCGCTTCGTGAAGTTCCCCGAGCCTCCTTTCTCCTCGGTCCACAAAGATGAACGCATGCGGCACCACGTATGCTCCGTGAACTGATCAAGTTCAAATCTTTGGCCAGTACAAGGCAGCTCTCGAACAGAGCAATTCGCACATAGTTGGCGGGATCAAACAAGCAAACGACCTCTGGTTCCCGTCGAACGTATGCAGTTCGCACGCTGCCTTTTTATTTTAT